ATTATTATATGAACATAGCATATAATTACTTTGGAATTTTACCGTTAAATTGACAGCTCCACAAAACCGACGACTCTCTAAAAAATGTTGGTGCGGAGATCAGCTGTCACCGAATCAGCCATCCTCGATCATTCGGATCACTAAAACAAAATCTATCCGCCTTGTACAAAAGTATACGTCATGGAATAAGGTCGAATGGGGTAACATTTTATTTTTTTAAAGTCACCATGGCGACCTTTCTCATGAAATTCAAACCAGTCACCTTTTATCCGGATTCATACCTCTTAGTACCACTTTTTCACATACTTGGGACTTCTGACATATTGGGAGACAAATCGGTACTATTGTGTAAGGGAAACTACAGTAAATACAGTAATAAACTTTTATTCGTTTACAACAGGTCTCTATGAAGTAAAAACATAAATTACTTTTGTAACAACCCTAGAGGTTACATATATAAGTAATAGATAATAATATGTAATAGCTCTTGCAAGGAATAAAACTGTTAGAAATCTTAATAATTTGGAGTCCTTTTCAGTCCTTATTGTAGTTCCCGAAAACATATCTTTAGTTACTAAGTTAAACCCCCATTCGAGTCGACACTTACTGAATAGATATATAAAGAAGTGTTTGGGAATTTCTCCGGATAATAGCGACAACCCCAAAAGAAAAGGACTTGCGGAGGTAACTTGAGGGAAACCAAATGTAGGCACTCTTTAGTGAGACATTGTGAGCGAGAAGATTAACCGAATAGCGAGGTTGTGTACATGCACTCTCGATTCCCCGCGCCCCTTAGAGATTGCCCAACTGAGGTTCAGGTTGCTCGGGCGGGTCGATTGGTTAGTTCGTCTGGACCCGAGCAAGTCATGTCTCCCCTTTTCTCCACGACGTCGTGTCTGTCATACTCTTTTTATTTCTCGAAACACTTTGTAATTTCGTACCTTGTACAGTGCATCTCTGTAGATGTATGACTATATGTGGACTTTGTCGTCGTCCTCTCCTGAGAAATTTCTCTCTGTGATGTATGACTATATGTGGACTTGTAGTGTCCTCTGTAGAAATTTCTCTCTGTGATGTATGCATATGTGGACTTGTAGTCGTCCTCTCCTGAGATAATTTCATCTCTGTGATTTAATACTGGATTTTTACTCGTCTTATACCAGGGAAAAATTATAAACGTCAGGACGGGACCCACGAAACCACTAGCGTTGCTTTCCCGTACGCTACGTCAAGTCTCTTGGGCTGAACACCCTCCTCCCTGTATGACCTACACATTCACTAAGGTTTCAGAGCATCGAGGTGTCGGTTGTCACAACAACAAAAATAAATTGAATAAAAGAAAATTAGAGTACACAACAGACGTCTCCACCAATTACTATTTCGGTCGATTAGATCAAATATAAATTATATTTGACGCAACTTTAGTTACATTTCCATGACTTTTCCAAAACTTTGGGAAAAATATTGTTTTCCATAACTTTTCCAGGGCCTGGAATTTGCATTTAGAATTTCCATGACTTTTCCAGGTTTTCAATGACCGTAGGAACCGTGAGTCTTTAAATGATGGTAGTTAAGGACTTCATTCATTTACATATTTACAGTCCCGCCTCAAAACCCACCTCTTCAACTCTGTATCCATAAGCCCCCCCCCCCTCTCAACCAACTTCCTCCTGACTACTTTTCTGTTTTGTTTTGTTTCTTTGATACTTTTTTGTTTTGGTTTTGTTTTGTCTGTCTGTCTACCCTCCCAAATGTAAAGCGTATTCGGGTTCAAGAAAAGCGCTATAGAAATATAATTTATTATTATTATATTGTCTGAAGCTTTATTTTATTCCTCACCCTGGGAAGAGGCTCCAGCAGGAAGCCGAGCGCCACAGTCACAATCATGGCCATCATGGCAGAGATCAGACCTGCAATCTGCATTTACAAAAACAAGTTAATCTTTTATTTCATCGTGCCAATGAAGGATTGCAATGTCTATAAACCAGATTGTAGAGCGACTTTACAATACCTCTTTTCGGAGACAATAACATGCTACTGTAGTGAGGTAGTAAAACATTTGTGAGTGTAGTTTTCTGACCTGTGTTTTTCCTCCTGAGCTTTCCTGCACGGCCGTCCTGGAGAGAGCGGTGCTGGCTGCAAACGACTTGAAGCTCGCACCAAACATGTTGCTCACTCCAAATGCAATGAGCTCCTGGGTTCAAGGAACCATAGAGACTTTAGTTACCTCTCTGACTAAATGCAACACATGAAAGCACCAGGTTTGGGGAGCAACAGATTACATGTAACGTGTAAGGGATAGCTAGCAGATAACAATGTTAGTAAAAACCTAAAAAGAGCATCTAGTGCAGGGGTGTCAAACTCAAGGCCCGGGGGCCAAATCCGGCCCGTGACATCATTTTCTGTGGCCCCACAAGAGCTTGCAAAGAATATCATATGTTTATTATACCGTTACAGGCCGATTTACAGAAGCACGTTGCCCATAAACTACATGTCCCACAATGCATCTCAAATTCGAAATGACACTTGTTTTTCATGATTTTTACTTATTTTTCAGAGTTTGGCTTTTCTTTTTAAATCATTTTGTGACATACTCACTGAAGAGAATTGAAATGATTTGCCCTAGACTTCTGCTTTCAGACGGTAAATTGTCAACGAGGGGGTGGGGGGGTGGGGGGGTGGGGAGGGGGGGGGGATGCTAGCAGCTTATCCGACCGGCCCACTTCGGTACCGCTAGTAAATTGCCAGGGGGGAGGGGGTGGGGTGCAAGTGACTTATCCGACCGGCCCACATCGTCCGGCCGGCCCACTTTTTTCAGGGTATAGTTGTAGGACTAGTTTCATGTATGTGAACCATTTGTAAGATAACAAGGGGGTGCATATTGTGATAAGCAGGCCTGTCATAAAATGCACCCCACCCAAAAAGATGTTTCTATTCATCCGACCCTCAAGCATTTTTTAGGGTATGGTTGTAGGACTAGTACCAATGAATGGAGCAAGTTTCATGAATGTGAGACTTTTATTTTGTAAGATAGCAAGGGGTGCATAACGTGGCAAAAATATGCTGACAAAGACTATGTAACATTTGTAAACATATGACAAATATGTAAAATGACAAATATGTAAAATTAAACAATACATTTTAAAGCACGTGTATACAGACAGGATGTCACAATAAAAAAAAACACACATTAAATAAAAAGATTACTGAAAAAGAAGTGACGAATGAATGCAAAAATCCAGGATTCGGCACCACTACCATCAAAATATGGAGCGAAAAGTTTAACCACAAGAATCAAGACTATATGACCTACCACTAAGCGACTCACAGTCTGTAAATTACCATTAAAAAAAACCTAGACGTTTACTTTTCGTTTTAAGCATCGTTTTAAGGTCTTAACGTTTCATTTACAAATGCGCGTTCCCGTGACAAGGGGCGCATTTCATGATGGGGGTGCATAATTTGACACAACAGCGGCCCATCGCGCTTCGTCCCGATGGCCAGTCCGCCACTGGTAACAAATTAACTATTTTTCTGCCGTCAGAGCCAGGAGTGACCACACAAAACTCACCTGGTTTCCATCGATGGTGTAGTCGTGTTTGATCGAGTAGACTTTGGCCACAGAGAAGGCAACAGCAAAGCCCACGATGGCGATGGGAAAAGCTTCAACTGCACTCTCCTGAAATACTTCAATATTTGGCGCAATAGGAGACTCATACCTGAAAATTAAAACAGTGTTTAATCGTGCATTCATAGGATCTATAGCTCAATACTTGTTAAATACTGTACTTAAATTCAATTTTGAGGGACTACACTTATTTCAAAGCTGTGGTTACACAGTGTTTCATTAGGTCATAAAATACATTTCATTTTAAACAATTAAACAGTGGTTCCCAACCTTTGGAGCTTCTGACTCTTTATACAAAATAAATCAAGTTGTGGGCGCTTGTCTTGTTCCAGTAGTGTTACCTCAACATTTTCCTATAGTTTTTCATTACATAACCTTTAAATTAGGTAAATAATTCAATATTTCACAAAATATTAAAGAAAGGTCAATTCAATGAAGTACATTTGTGTAGCAGAAGTTCGTTTTTTCTTAATTTTTCTCTTTATCTTATGACCTCTCTCAGATTTATCTTGTGAACTTTTAAAAACATCTTATTAGGTCAACCATCTTCAAACTGAATTATAATTCTGTCACATAGGTTCATCAGCATTAGAAAACTATTATACAATCTATAAAATTCTGTTTTCTACTCTTACTTTGTATATTTTGAGCATATTTAGCAGATTATGTCTTTATAGTATTTCTTAAAATCTTGAAATCCAGTACTTAGTGTTTCAAAATTGGGTTATTGTTAGTTTTACTTGAGTCAAGATGTCCTGCTTTAACTGCATTACCAAACATAGAAATCAGCCAGCTTGATTTTGACTTAGAATCCACTGATGACGTGCAAAACTTACCCACTGACCATTTTGCCAACAACTTCAACATCATATCTCGTCTCGAAGTTGAAGCCATAGGAAACACCGCAAGCTATGACAGTCTGTGAGAGCAAAGACACACATAGAGAGAAACAACTCTTCAGTCCCAGCTAGCTTGAACACATCAACGTTGTTACACTTTGATAGTGATGTAAACAGGATTTGTAGTTCATAAGATTGTCTCCTCTCACCATGATAACCTCTATGGGGATGGGAACAGGAAGCCTGGCTTTGTATCGGTCGTTCAGCTCCTTCACGATGAAAACCACCACCATGATCACGATGGACATCACCAGGTCGCAGATGTTGGTGGAGGCGATCTGGACAAAGACCTTCTCCAGGGTCTGTGCAAAAGAAGTGAAAACTCTGCATTTTAGCATGATCACAACATTCTCTTTCCAGGCGCACATCAAATCTGTTACCAAATCCGCCTTCGACCATCTCAAAAAAGAGTGAAGAAATTAGGACTTTTTCTCAAAATTAGGACTTTTTCTCAAAATCTAAAAATTAGGACTTTTTCTCAAAATCTAAAAATTAGGACTTTTTCTCAAAATCTAAAAAATAGGACTTTTTTTCAAAATCTGAAAATTAGGACTTTTTCTCAAAATCAAAAAATTAGGACTTGTTCTCAAAATCAAAAGAAAAAGGACTTTTTCTCAAAATCTAAAAATTAGGACTTTTTCTCAAAATCAAAAAATTAGGAATCTTTCTCGAAATTCTGACTTTTTCAAAAAATCAAAAAATTCTGACTTTTTCTAAAAAATCTCAAAATTCTGACCTTTCCTGAATACTTAAAAATGTTAATAATCACTGATCACCGTCTTGAGCTTCAATCTCAGCTGTATTTGTGATCCTCTCCAGAATGGAAGTATTCATCACATACAGAGCATCAACTTGGGGTTCCCAGCAAAACCCTGGACAGGCTTCAATACGTCCAGAACTCTGCCGCCAGGCTTCTCACCCGCACCAAGCCATGGCAACATATCACCCCCACCCTCCTCCACCTCCACTGGCTGCAGGTCAAGTCCCGGACTCAGTACAAAACACTCCTCCTCACGTACAAGTCCCTCCATACCCTCGCCCCCCAGTACTTATCGGACCTCCTCCTCCATCCCTACACCCTTTCTCGGAGTCTGCGGTCCTCAGACACGGGCCTGCTCTCCATCCCCCGCTCTCGCCTCCGAACTGTTGCTGACCAGGGCGTTCAGTGTTGCAACCCCCTCCCTCTGGAATGCACTTCCTGCCGAGATCCGTAATGCTGCCTCCCTGGACATCTTCAAATCATCATTAAAAACACACCTGTTCACCCTGGCCTTCGGGCCCGAGCCCTTTCTTGGTCCCCCGGCTTCCTTTATTTTTTGTTTGCCCTTTGATTGTCTGTTTGTTTTGTTTGTCCACCATGTACAGCGACCTTGGGTCCCTTGAAAGGCAATATATAAATATCATTTATTATTATTATTATTATTAGTTTAATTGTGTAATTTGGATTCTGGGCCATATCTCACTTTAATTAAATCGACAGCCTGCTGGTTTGAATGTCACATGAAAAGCTGCACTACATAAATATTATGCATTTCAAATTCTGTAGAGGTTTTCCTTCAGCTTTCACTATTATATTTTACCATGGTTTCATTTAGATATCAGCATACTGCAGAAAGTGGTCTGTAAACATATCCATTACTGCTTTACAGTCAATTTATGTTGTCCTGAATGCATTTGCATAATCGTATTAGAGCGCTGTCAAGAAGTAAGACAGAAAGAAAGACATATTATGAAGCTTAGCAATGTGAAATGTGTACCTTATTGTACATGTTAATGATTCTAGCCGTAGAAATTAGCATACATTCGTTTTCTTTCACTCAAAACACTGACATTCGTGGAGTTTTGTTTCCTCTCACAACTGTCTGTATGTTTTAAGCTATAGTTTCTCTCCTCTTTTGTCTAATTTCTGTCTGAATGATTAAAAACAGTAGGGTTGGTCCATCTCTGCTAGTTTGAAAACAAGAAAGTCTCAACAATGATGCATCCTTGACTCACATATATGAGAGCGAGTGGACCGTTGATGCCTGGAACGGTTAACCCCAACACAAACTTGAGCTGGGACACCAGGATGTGGACGGCAGCGGCTGTGGTGAAGCCGGAAACCAGAGTATCGGACAGGTACCTGACGATGAAGCCCACCTGGAGGACACCCATGGCAAGCTGGGTGAAAGAATGAGGGGAAAAATACGCTTTTATTTTGAAATGTCACGATCTGTTTGTGTTTTATTTTGAAAGCTGTTCACCCCTTGTGTTAGGTCTGATTTTACTTCCTGTCTCTGTGGTTTCCCTCCTGTTTGATTACCTGATTCTGTTCACCTGGTGTGTTTTTCCTGCCCTTTTTCTCAAAATTCTGACTTTTCCCCAAAATTCAGTTTTTTCAGAAAATTTGCTTTTTTTTCTGAAAATCACAAATTCCTGAATTTTTCTCAAAATTCTTAGTTTTTCTCAAAAATGATGACTTTTTCTCAAAATAATCTTACTTTTTCAAAAAAATCTTACTTTTTCAAAAAAATCTTTCCTAAAACAGTCCTGATGCTCTTCTAGGTAATCAGACATCCTGTCATGTACTCAGCTACAGTTGGAATACCTTTGTTATCATGTGGACTCTGATATTGGAAGAGTACATTCAGTATTTTCCCAACAGGTATGAAGACAGATGTACCTGGAAAATCCCCATGAGGAAGGTCACAGAAGAGGCCACCAGGACTCTCTGCTGGTCCTGGGTCAAACCATCAAAACCAGTGATGTTTGCCGGTTGTCCGACTTCTGGAACGAGGCGGGTCACCACCGCTCCCACCATCAGGCTCAGGACTGGGAAGGAGCCTGCAGGAAGGTGTGTGTCGAGGTGAGGAAGGTGTGTGTCGAGGTGAGGAAGGTGTGTGTCGAGGTGAGGAAGGTGTGTGTTGAGGTGAGGAAGGTGTGTGTTGAGGTGAGGAAGGTGTGTGTTGAGGTGTTGAGATAAGATTGGGTGTGATATCACACCCAATCTTATCTCAACACATCTTGTTTCAAAAAGATAAGGCTGATAAGTGATGTGTCTGATTTCATAAAAGTTCTTATTACTTGGAGGCCTTTAGGGACAGTTTATCAAAAATGAAGATAGGGGAATTGTGATATTAAAGAGTTTAGATTGAAACAGTTTGGCATAGTTACTCATCCTATTTCCAAGAATTTCCAGCTTAAAACTTATTGAAAGTCAAGTTGTTGTTTTAGAGCAAATGTATAAAACAATATTATAGCCTAAGCATTGCATGACTTACCTACGGAAATATGTCTGGAAGTACCGAGGAAGAAGTATGTTAGCATGGGGAAGAAAGCTGTGAAGAGGCCGTAGCTGGGAGGCAGTGAAGCCAGCAGAGAGAAGGCCAGACCTGGGTGAGACCACAGCAAAACAACAAACACAGAATAAATAATTATGGATATTTTGCATTTAAGAAATCTCTGAAAAAAATCTCTAAAAAGCACGTTTTTCGGCCCTAAACCTGGTAAAGATTCATAAAATGGCTGCTAAATTACCAAAAGAAGCTAATTGTTGTTGCTAAGCTAACCAATACTACTGTGGATTACATTTGCAGACATTTAACCACAAAAAAGTGTTAGCCATGCTAGCAGCTCTTGTTGTTTCCTACTGTAGCTTAATGCTACGTCAACATGCTAACACATTAGTTTAGCAGATTTTGACCGTGTACAATGCTTTCGTTTTCTCTAGCTAGCATGCTAATTAGCATAATACAAAGTACAGCTGAGGCTGATGCGAGTATAATAATAATAATAGATTTAATTTGTTAGCGCTTTTACAGGTGCTCAAAGACGCTTTACAGATAATAGTGAAGAAAAAAGAAAAGAGAAGAAAGGAACAACAAATAAATATATAGTTAAAGTTAAAGTCAAATAATACAAAAACAATCACACATGAAAAGCCAGATTGAAGAGGTGAGTTTTTGTGAGTTTTTTGAAGGTGGTGAGGTCGGTGCAGTCTGATGGGTTGTGGGAGTGAGTTCCAGAGGGAGGGGGCAGCGACGGAGAAGGCTACATACATCATATAGTATCATACATTTGGCAAGAATTTGTTCATTGCTGTTTGAAATTTTGAGCTAAAGGAACATTAAGGAAGTGATCAACGCTTTTAAACATCATTCTGGGAATGGGAGTGTCCATATTAAAAAAATCAAATACAACAAAAAAGTTCTTAGCCATGCTAGCAGCTCTTGTTGTTTCCTACTGTAGCTTAATGCTACGTCAACATGGTAACACATTAGTTTTTGACCCTGTACAATGCCTTAGTTTTCTCTAGCTAGCATGCTAATTAGCATAATACACAGTAGCCTACAGCTGAGGCTGATGCGAGTATCATACATTTGGCAGGAATTTGCATTGCTGTTTGAAATTTTGAGCTAAAGG